TCTTCCAAATTAACCACTCCTATTCCCAATCCATTTCTACTCCAAATTTCCCTATTCCATGAGGCACCACCATCCTTCTAGTTCTCTGTGTTTCAAACTTTTGAGTCATCCTCAACAATCCTCCCTCATCCCCTAAATCTATTTAGATGTCAAGACTGGCAGACCCTTATCTTCCCAATATCTCTTATCTATGACCCATTTTCTTCAATGATAGTCACCATTCTAGTTCAACTCCTCAACAGCTCTCACAGGAACTATCACTGCAAACGCCTCTAAGTTGCAGTCTCAGTTTCTAGTCTTTACTTCTCCAATTCATCCTGCACAAAGCTGCCAAAATTATATTCCTAAATTAGCAACAGTGAAACTGCTGGGCTCAAAAGCTTTCAGTGGCTCCCTGATGCCACTAAAATTTCAAAAATACTTCTGTACTTGACATTTAAAATCCTTCACAATATGGATCCAGACTATTTTTCCAGGTTTACTTCACCACTAGGCTCCTCCCCCAAGTTTCATTTACATTTCAATCAAACTAGCCTCTTTGCTATTACCCATACTCAGCATTCTATCTCTCATCAATGGGACTCTGGACAAGTCACTTACCTATTGCCTCAGTTTCCTTAATTGTGATATGGGGATTGTAAGACCACCTACCTACCTAGAAGAGCTTCAGTAAGGATCAAATGAGATAATGTTTGTAAAACCCTTAGAACAGTGCCTCGAAGGCACTATAAAAATTCTTATTCCTTTCCCCATATCTGTCATTGCACAGATCATCACCTCACAGAGTGAAAGTACTACTTACTCACTTCTGCCTCGTTTAGAACCCTAGGTTCTTTCAAAGCTCAATTTACCTGTCACCTCCTAAAGGAAGCCTTACCTGATCTCCCAGTTATTAGTGCTATCCCTCATCAAATTTTGTATCTGTATTGTAGATGTTTATAAACATTTAACTGGGGAAAGTATACTCAAACTTCAGAGTGTGCATCTATATATTCACAATACATAGATGCACAGATACATATACATATATACACATGCATACACTCATTTGCTTAAATGTAATATCCCATATCTATCTATATCTGTATCTATATATATGGAGTTTCTTTACATACTTCTTCCAGTATAAGGTAAACTCCTTGGGTAGGACTATTTTTGGTTTTGCTTTTGTATCCCCAACACCCAGCACAGTACCTTGAACACAGCAGGGTCTAAATACTTACTGGATGGAAAGCCTCCAGCCAGTTAAGCAAATCTTCTAGGGAAAATTTATGGGAAGAAATGGGACAAGAATTACACAGGCAACATGGCACAGTGGAAAGAATGCTCATCTAAAGTTAAGTACCAACTCTGACACATAGCAGCAGCTAGTATTGCACAAAGGATAAGAGTGCTGGGCCTAGAATTAGGAAGAACTGAATCTGAATCTGAACTGTGTGAATCTGGGTAAGTCCCTTAATAGCTATTTGCCTCAGTTTCCTCAACTGTAAAATGGGAAAAACAAACAGCACCTACCTCACAAGGTTGTCTGTAAGGATCAAATGAGATATATGTTAAAAAAAATGCTTAGCACAATGCCTATCACATTGTAGGTGCTATATAAATGTTTATTCCCTTTCCCCTCTCCTACTATGTAACCTGGGCAGAGGGGGGCCTTGACCTTTCCTCTTCTGTAAAATGAAGGGGCTGGACTAGATAACTTCTACTGTCCCTTCCAGTTCTGTATCCATGAGTATGATTATTTGAGGAGATATAAGGGTTTCAATTTCAAACTGCATTGGTGGAGGGAGTACCCAGCACAGATGAAATCACAGATCCAAAGTATCAAAATAAAGTTACAAAATGCTTCTTCATTTTACCAAAGAACTCACCACAGTGTTCCTTTATGACTTTCACTAAGATCCTTTTAAATACGATTTATAAAAAAACTTTTTAGGTATGAAACTGTCATATCATGAAAACTATATGTCAATATTATTTTTTTTAAACGGCCAATTAAACAAATTTGACTACCTCAAATCCTCTAAGAATGAAGAATGTTTATTACCATGTACCTTAATGGAGGTAAAAAAGAAGTGATTAATTTAAAATTAGATTCTGCAAGAAAGAGTTCCTAAAACAATATTTCTGAAAAGTGAGTCATTAACTCAAACTGGACTTCCAAATTGGAATATTGAAATAGATACCAATGTGGTATTTACTTTAAGTACCTGATAAGATTTCACATAAGGCAAGTCACTTCCAAATCATCAGAGAGCTTGAACCCCTTTAATATTAAGAAAATTAATTTCAATAGTCATCATGATAAATTGAAAATTAACATATATTTAAAGTGAAATTTCTACAAACACTACTGATATCTCCTCACATGGACTCGACCTCTCCTAGGCACTTGTTTGTGTACATATCCTATCTCACCTATTAGATATTTGTAAACATTTTGAGAAGCATGATTTAATTGCTTTTTTTTTTCCATTTTTACTTACACCCAGTGAGTGATTAGCACAATGTCCTGCACACAGTACATTTACTTAGTAAATGTTAAACTGAATACTGTTCAACAAAAAATTTAAGATTATGTCAACTTTTGACTATTTTACTAGTCAGTCATAATCTTAGAAAACATCTATTTCAACATTATTTTTTAGATGAGAAAACTGAAGTCCAGGTCTTATAAGTAATTTATTTAAAGATATTTAGCAAGTTAATGGCTCATCACAAGCCAGATCTACCCTGAGAATTAGCCATCAAAAGTGCTTACACTGCTTAAGTAACCCATAGTAAGTATTAAGATTTCTCAAACTTAACAAAAAACTTAGTCATAGGATTTTTGAAAATTGAAAATCAGTTTCAATTCCAAACAATGAATGTAAAAAAATGATCTCCATTTTAACCAATTTCAATCCTCTGACCTGCACTTACAAGGTAAAAAGCAAAGAATTAAATCTCAAGTGAAACACGATGTACTAGTACTGTCTGTGAAACTCTTTTGTTTTAAAGATATGACTTCAAAACATTTAGGATAAACAGTATGAAAGAATTAAGATACTATTTTTAAAACGCTTTACATTAAAATGCCTTTAAGAAGGCATTTTAAATATGGCCACATTTCAGATGAAAACGATTTCCTACCTATAGAAATATAAAATGCTTTCCTCTTGAAACTCAGTAATTATGTTATCAGAGTAATGCAATATCATTGGCTGAATTAAATGAATTCTACACAGGACAACTATATTGTCTTTCAATCAACTCATTTTTTTCTTGCTGCCTTCAACCAGAGGATAAAATCAGAACAATGCTATGACTTGATAACCAGAAAAGTTTAGGGGGAGATTTTGTTTTGTCTTGTTTTTGCACTCTCAGATTTTTTAACGTGACCTTGCAGATGTCTTACTTTTTTTGTTCTATACTTTACCTTATCTTTCCCTCTCCTTTGTAATGCTTCTGGATATAAGTAATCTGGGTAGACATTGGACAGGTGATACAAATTCATAAAGGGTAAAACGCTGTAATTTAAAACTGCCTAATAGGCCAGATGTATACTAAGTGCCCATACATTTGTGACCCTCTGCTTGGTGTAGTAGAAAGAGCACTACACCAGAAATCAGAATCCCTTAATTCAAGAAGGAACTCTAAGTCATCACTCTCTAATTTTCTCTTTTTGTAAATTCAGGTTTTTGTTTTTTGGATTCTTATTATAAAGGAAGAAAGAAGAGACACCTGTTGAAGACATTAACGAGGATTAGTACAGGGAAGCCTTTGACAGGCTGAGAAGAACATCTTTTAAAAAATGTTGCCACTGTTGCCTTGCTAAACATCACAAAGTAAAACCAATTATCTAAGAGAATGCAAACTTCAAAGTTCGTGCACACACCCACCTACAGGCCTATTGTGGTCTAGGTTTAAAACACTTCGCTCCCATTTAAATATATCCAACACCCAGGTTTTATAGGAAAAAAAGAGTGTAAGCTTCTCCCTTTCAACTTTCTCATAATTTTCCTAAGCGTCCTAGGAGCTAGCTTCTCCATCGCTACCTTTCTACCTCGTCTACAACATTCTCCAGACTCCACCTCACAAGCATTTCTAATAATGCCAAGGGAAGGGGGGAGGGGAATGGGTAAGTGTGTATACATTTAATGTGTGTATAAGTGCGCGCGCGCTCCCGCGCGGTTCCCCCCCCCCACCCCGATACTTGTTCCTCAGTGGAAACCAAAGGACTGGGAGTCTAGAGGTTATTCTCGTAGAAACTGAAATGCAGCGCCGGTTGGGAGTTATGTTCACTGATAGCACCTAGTGTTTGGGTTGGCGTAACCCAAACTTCTCTCTCTCTCGCTCTCTCCCTCCGAACCCCAAAAGCTAGGGAATTCGAAGAGAAGAAAAATGGGAAGAGGCGTGTGTGCTTGTTTGGGGGGGGGGGGGGCAGACGGGAGTAAAAGTGAAAGCACTGCTCACTCCAAGAGGGGATTAAGTTCCGAGATTCCGTTTCAGCTGACAAGCCCCCACCCCACCCCACCCCACCCTCCTTTTTCTAACCCTCCTTCCAGGTGGAACTCGTTAGCCGCGGCGGCCCCGAGGAGCCAGGGAGGGAAGAGGGGAAAGACACCGCCACCTTCCTCCTCCTTCCCCCGCGCGCCGCCCGCCACCAGGGCCCGGGAGCTGCGGGGAGCGAAAACTGGGAGCAGGAGGGAGGAAGCCGGCTCCAGCCTCCCCCAGCTCCCAGGCCGGCCGGCCTGCCCGTGTGCGCCGCGTCACCTGGGGGGCAGCAGCGGCTCTCGCTGCCCTTCACACTCGCCGTCTCCCACCCCCGACCCCCGATCGCACTTTCCCCCCACCCCCCTTAACCCCCGCCTGGAAGGGGAGGGCTTCGAGGAGAGGGGAGGGGGGGCAGCCCCTGGAACTGGCTGCAACCGGCGGCCACAACGGCGGTGGCCGCCGGGCGTGAGTGTGGAGAGGGGGGGCGACCCTGACCAGGCCCCGGGGAGAAGAGAAGGTCCTACCTAACACGGTCGGTCTCCTCCGCCTCCTCCTCAAAGGCAGCAGCCCCGGCGGCGGCGGCGGCGGCAGGGGTGGCGGCGGCAGCAGCAGCAACATTCCTGGGGAGAGCTCACGCCGCCGCCGCCGCCGCCTCCTCCTCCTCCTCCTCCACCACTCTCCGCTCGCGTCCCTCCAGGCACTCACCCTCCCCCCCCTTCCACGCCCCAAATCTCCACGCCCGGCCGCGGCTGGGTCGTCGTCCTCTCTCTCTCTCTGTCTCTCTCCCTCCCCCCCAGGCCCCTCCGCCCGTTGCAGCCTGCCCGCCGGCCGGCCGCCGCACTGGGTTCAGTAATGGCGGCTGCTCTGGCTCCCCCTCGCTGACGATTCTAGCTCCCTCTCTCCCGAACTTTACCTCAGCATCTCTCCCGGCGCGCACCGCCGCCGGAACGCGCGCGCGCACAACCCCACACCCGGAGCGGAGGCGCCGCCGCGGCTCCAAGCTGGCGCGCGCACGCGCGCCCTCGCGTCCCGTCCCCCCCACTCCCCCCGCCCGCAGCAGTCCTTCACCTCCCAACACCTCCCTTCCCTCCCCCCGCTTCTCTCCCAGTTTAGCCCCGCCCTGGTCTTCGTCTCCGGGGAGCCAGGGAAGGCGCGAGCTAGTCAGGGGGGAGGGGAGAGGATGGGGTAGCCTGGCTCTCGCCCCTCCACTTCGAGCTCCCCCATTGGTTTCTGATTTCTCCCCTCCCTTTCTTCCTCACTTTACCCTATTCATTGGTTCGCTCGCCTACTCCATTCCTTCCCACCTTCTCCCCTTCACCCATTGGGGATTGTGTGTATGTCTTTTTTTTTTTCCCTCTCCTTTTCCCTTCCTCCTTATCCTACTCCTCGATCCCACCCTCCAGACTTTGAAAGCAACATGCCACACAGGCTAAGCGCCACCCCCGTTTTCCCTTTCCTCATTCCTCATTTTCTCTCCGTAGCTCAGGGCAAGTCCATCTACTGCAAAGGAAAGAACCAGAAAATAGATCCCTTTTCGGTCCGGAGCAGAAACTGATTCTTTGAGAGGAGAGAAATCCGGAGACCCACAAGCACGCTTGCACAGACATGCAAGTGTTTTTACAGTGTGTGTGTCCGCAGCCGGCTTGGCTTGGGGATCACTAGTAAGAAGCATTTGTTCAGTCACAGTAGAGGCAATATATATATTGGAGTCAATGCCATACTTCCACGGAAGGCAAAACTCCCACTGAAGCCAAGAGCAGGAGGAGTCTATTTCTTAACGAACGTAAGGCATATGGACTCAGGCCCATACACACACACATACACACACACACGCTTTGAAAGAGGTTAAAAAAAGGAAGGAGAAGGAAGGGTAAGATAGACACGGGAAAGAGGATTATGATAATATTCCATCCCTTTTGACTAATATCTCTTCATTAGGTGCCACCCTTTTTTTTTAATGGCTTGCATTATTGCTTTTAGTGTATACAAATTTTATGCCGTTTCCAGCCATCCGTTCACATGTTGTGGCTTTACCTCTAGGAATTTAACAAGTAAATCACTTGTTTATAGTATCCATTCTTTGAGGGCACTCAACTCCTAAGCCAAATCTCAGTATAAACATAGAACTAAAATCTTGTTGTTCAAAGGGATCTTGGAGATCATGGAGAACAATTCACCGATTTTTTTTTTTAACATGAAGAAATTGATAGAGAGGGAAGTTAACTGGCTTGTCCAAGGTCACACTAATAGGTCACGTGCTAGTACTTTTCAACAGATTCTATGAAATCAAAGTATTTGTGAACCATAAATTTGTTCCAGATTGTTGTTAAAACTTGGAAAACTAAGTTATTGATGTTGGAGAATTGGGTGATTCCTCTTTGAGGATAGATTTATTCCTGTTCTAAAAACTGGCTATCATCAATAAAGCAAAATATTAAAAAAGGCTTGTAAATTCAACTTCTTTCTTATTTCTTAGGTTACATAAGGTACTGGTGGTATGTAAGGTGGTTTTTTTAGTGCTATAATGATGCAGCTGCTGCCAGCCATAAGTACATTTATGGACTGTCAGTAAAGAAACAACGAAAACTGCCTGTCAGTAAAATCTGTTAAAAAAATATTTGTGTCAGTAAAAATGTCAGGATATTCCAGGAGAGAAGGTTCTTTCTCTTGTTCCTCCCCTCCTCCATCCTCATATTTCTCAACAATAAACTTAGTGGATTTCTGGAAGTAAGGCAGGAAAAGAGAAGTCTCAAGTTCTAATCCCACTTTACCTTTGCTTCTCTAATTAGCAGAAGGCAAATTATTGAAACAAATATCATGCCCTTTAGTTACCTAAGGCCAAGTACTTAGCAGCCAGTTCTACCTATTGAGTTATGGACTGGCTATGTTGTTGGGAGGTTTGAGGTGAAAGCTAGGAAGACAGCAGAGAGAATTAAAAAAAAAAAAATGAGAGAGTCATAAGATACAAAAGGAAAAAACAAAGAGCCATACATAGTGTAGAATAGCAGAGAGCCACTTAGAAGTAGAGTTAGATGCCTGCCCTAAGTTTAAAGAAATTGGGGAGAATAATGCATAAGTACCTGCAAAGCATTTCTTGATTTGGGGGCTAAAAATTAAAGAGATAAGAATACTGTTAATAGAAGTAGTGGTTTTAATATTGTTTCTAAAAATGCTTACTTCTAGAAGCATGAAAATTTCACGTTAATTCAATAAATATTTATAATACACAGTCCTTGCCTTCAAAAAGTTTGTCAACTGTTTTTTCCTAATAAATAAAGAACTTTGTAACTGTTGGCACATATGTCACCATAAACTAGAGTTGCTAGAGTCAAGTAATTAGGTCTCATTTAGATGTATAAAATATATGGACAGGATTATGAGGTTTCAATTCCCTTTTCCCAAGTGGCTGTTCAAGTTTTAGCAGAGACTTTTTGGGGCAATAGAAAGTGTCCTAGACTTGGGTTTGAATCCCAATTCTGCTACTTATGACCTCTGTAACCTTGAGTAAGTAATCTTAACTTCTTTGGGCCTTAGTTTCCTCATCTGCCAAACAAAGGAATTGGACTAGAACAGCAGTTCTCAAAATGTGGTCTGGAGAACCAGAAGGGTCTCTGAGACATTTATATGGGGAAGGTGAAAACTGTTCTTATAATAATACTAAGACATTTTACTTTCTAGTATAATAAATAGATATAACTCACATAGATAAAAGTTCTCAAGGGGATGTTTAACAATTTTTATGGGTACAAAAAAGAGTCCTGAGTTCAGAAAGTTTGAAAAATACTAGATTAGAAAACCTCTGAGTTCCCTTCACTAAATCTCAGATTTAGTGATCTCTAAATTTCTAAATCTCTGCTGTTACACAGAAATGAGAATTAAAATACAATGTAGTAACTATAACCTCATAATCTTATCCTATAAAATTTGACTACTGCAATCAATAAATGACAGTAAACTTTGTGGATAGAATGGATAGAATGCTAGATGTGAATCCAAGAAGACTTGAATTTGAATCCTGCCTCAGACCTATTAGCTCTAATCCTGGGCAAGTCACTCAATCTCTGTCTGTCTTGGTTCCTTCTGTAAAATGGGAATAATAAAAGCACCTACTTCCCAGTTTTTTTGCAAGGATGAAATAAGATAATATTTGTAAAGATTTTGCAAACATTAAAGCACCATATAAATGCTAACTATTATTATTATTATTCAGTTCTATAACAATTATTTGATCCTTGTTCCCCTTTAATGCATAGGTTAACTTTCTTGTCTGGTGCCTGTTTTCAAAGCAGTGTGGTGTGGTCCACGAGACCTTTAGTAAAGAAAAACTGGGTTCAAATCCCATTTCAGATACTTACAAATTGTATGAACCTTGGCAAATTCACTTACATTCTCTACGTCTGTCTCCTCATTTGATAAATGTTGATGATGGTAACACCTATCTCTCAGAATTGTCCTGAGGTTCTAATGAGATCATATATGTAGGGTGCTTTGCAAGGTGCTATTATTGTTATCACTTTAGGTCCTGGGAATTTTTAGATATTATTCTTCCCTTGTCAGCAGGCATGGTCTAAGACAGAATTGGCTTTGAAAAAAGAAAAAGAATACTTTTTTATTAACTTCTTAAGGATGTCTGTTGTTCTCCAGGAAAAAAAAAACAAACAAACAAATGTAATATCTCAAAAATAAGTGTACCCTTTACTATAAAAAGAAATCTCTTTTGTGGTAAAAAAAAAAAAAACACTTTGATAAATAAAAGGAAGAAAAGAAAACAGCAAAAAAAGAATGGCGAGAAAACACAATTTGGAAGTTGAACTAGACCATTAACTAAAAAAAAAAAAGACCACTGAATGTTCAACTTTAGAAAATATAAAAGCGCAATTAAAAAAAATGTGTAGCACTTTTTTTTTAAAAGATAAAACAGAACTCAGCTCACCTATTCTGACCTTCAACAAAGAACTTCTTAAGTGCTTATTCTACTGCACCAGACACCTAAAATCACCAAAGGCTTTCTCCTCTTGGTATTCATTCTTCATCTTATTTGGCAAAATTCACAGAATGAGTCTTTAGCCAGGAGTGTTTTCCATTTAGGCACTCTTCTAGGCAGTCTTAGCACTTCTGTGCATGTTGTTGACGTATCAATGTGTTTCAGCTTTTGAGACTTAAATGGATAGCTATCACTTTTTTTTTCCTTTTTGGAGTAGCTTTAGTCTAGGTTTTGCCATCATAACTAATACTTTACTGGTACTCTAAAGAATTCACATTTCTACATCTCTACGGAGATCTTTGCGGCTAAAGAACCTGCCCTGTAGTGATAACTACGCCCCCTGCTGGAAATTTTGCATCAAAACATCTTCTCTAACCATCTTTAACAAAAGGGCATAGTACACATTCTCACTCCCTTGTTAGTCATGAACAAAATAACCCAGTGTTGTTTTGTTTTTGTTTTTGTGTTTTGTCATCCTGATACAAGTCAGGATTCCTAAAAACAGATGACTTTTGGGAGATCAGCTTGATTCCAGAAGAAATTCACAAAAGAGATGGAACATGAAGTGATATTCACTTAGG